GGCCATGGGAATTCCTGCACCTGGAGGATTGGGGATGGGGACATATCCCTTGGTTTTACAGATTTCCTTCCTTCCTTCCTTCCTTCCTTCCTTCCTTCCTTCCTTCCTTCCTTCCTTCCTTCCTTCCTTCCTTCCTTCCTTCCTTCCTTCCTTCCTTCCTTCCTTCCTTCCTTCCTTCCTTCCTTCCTTCCTTCCTTCCTTCCTTCCTTCCTTCCTTCCTTCCTTCCTTCCATCCTTTCTTTTTACAGCAGAAAAGAAAAACTTTATTAGAAGGGAAAGTCCACTTCCAGACATGGAAGCGGGCCTGAGCAAGAGAAACATGGCTCAAAAGGCTTCTTGCGGATTTTTCACTCTGGCCCTCTAAAGCTCAGGCCCAGGGCAGTGCCCCATGGATAGCAGGAAACCTCTGCACCCAGCATGTGCCTGTCAGCAGCCAGGCCTTTCCTGCAGCAGCATCTCATTGAATTGCCATCCCATTTTAAAGGTAAAAGAACTGAAGCACAATGAAACCACAGCAATGGTAAAGTGAAGCAATTCAACCAGGCCTCTAAAGCTGATAAACTGGATGTCTGATATCAAATCCTGGTCTGTTTGATCCCCAGACCCTTCCTCTCTCTACTCGCACCCTTTTCCCTAAACTTGGTTTAAACTGGCAAACTGCCAAAGCCCTATTAGATATTAAAAATAGTTAAAAACTGAACAAAGAAACAAATTTTAAAAACCGAACAGTAGAGCCACCAAAGCAATTTAGTACTAGAGAAAGAATAGAGAGGCTGGAAATGTACCCAAACATATTTAAGAATCTAGTACACAACAGAAGCACTTTAAATGAATGGCAGAAAGAGAAAGAATTCAATAAATGGCAGCAGAACAACGGCTAGCTATCTGGAGGAAAGCTAAGCTCACAGTTAGGAGCCCTGGAGCCCTGCCTTGCTCCTGACACTCACCTTAAACCTGATGGATCAAAAAATTTCATGTAAACAGTGAAACCACACAAGCACTGGAAAATTTTCCTTCAAGTACAAAAAGCTTTTCTAAAGTGGTAAGAAACAATCCTATAGAAAAACCGGACAAGAATAAAATAGAGTTAACAAAAAAAGAAATACAAATGACCTATAATAATATGAAATACCCAGCCTCTCTCTAAACTAAAGAAATGCATAGGAAAACAAGAGACCACTTCTTCTTATTGGATCATCACCACCCTTCCACCCCCTAAAAAGGGAGTTGCTAAACCCCAGTCTTAGCAGGCAATGGAGAGACACTACTAGGACAATTGTAAGCTGTACCTCTTTAGAAGACAATTGGATATACTGTATGTGTCCAAATTATAACTGTTAGGAATTTATCTTTGGATAAGCTCACAAAAGTACCAAAGATATTGCACAATATTCATTGCAAACTTATCAAAATACTAAAAACACTAAAAACAAACTAAAGTCCATCAGGAAGGGCTGGCTAAAGTAATTACGAAAATTCCTATGATGCGATATGACAGAAGCATTAAAAGATTTATCTTTATGGTGGAAACAGAAAATTTTTCCAAGATATATTGATAGGTAGAGATAAATTGCCAGAACAGTATATTATATTTTTTAATGTATGTAAATAAACATATATATATGTATATACTTGCACATGTATACAAAAAACTTAATAGTGACTACTTCTGGCTTAAATGGGGAGAGTTCAGCATCATTAGCTATCAAGGGAATGCAAATCAAAACCTCTAAGAAATACTACTTTGCACCCACTAGGATTACTATACAGTAATGAAAAAGTCAGATAACAGGAAATGTTGGTGACAATGTGGAGAATTGGAACCCTTGTCCACTGCTGATAGAAGTTTAAAATGGTGCATCCACTGTTTTACACAGCCTGACAGTTCCCCAAAAAAGTTAAGCATGGAGTTACCATTTGACACAGCAATTCTACTTATAGGTATATATCCAAGAGAATCAAAAACACGTCCACATGAAAACTTGTACATGAATGTTCATAGCAGCACTATTCACAATAGCCAAAAGGTAAAAACAACCCAACTGTCATTAACAGATGAATGGATAAAACATGGTATAAACATACAATGGAATGTTATGTGATAATGGAGCATTGACACAGGCTACAACGTGGTCGAACCTTGAAAACATTATGCTAAGTGAAAGAAGCCACACATAGAAAGCCACATACTATATGATTCCATTTCTATGAAATATCCAGAACAGGGACATCTATAGAGACAAAAAGTAGATTAGTGCTTACTTAGGCCTAGAGAAGATGAGAGGGTCAGAGGGTGATAACTAAAGAGTGTGGGGATTCCTTTTGAAGTAATGAAAATGTCCTAAAATTGATTGTTCTCGCCCTCTCTGCAATGCCTCAACTGAGCTCGAGTGGCCATTTGAACAAAAACTGTAAAATTACATAAACCACCTTGGATCTGGAACAGATCTTTGAGACTAGTGTTAGAAATACATGGTGTGGTTTACTGAGGACATATTCGTTTTTGGCACTTCATTGTCTTATCGCTCAAAAAGCTAACACTTGTGACCTGACAAGGCCGAGGTTCTTACACTTTCACTATCCAGCCATGTTTTGTGACCTTTGAGCTAATGTCTAATGCCAAGTCACAGGGCATGAACAGAGCACAGGCTTGGAGACAAGCAGACCTGGGTTCAAATCCAGCTTTGTAAGCTGGCAGAGCTATCCACCTTTACAAGCCTCAGGAAATAATAAAGGTATTCTTTGTGAGCACTGGGTGAGATATTACATATCATATGTTTGGCACATAAATGTTATTCCTTCCTCCTTATGTATAGGAACTGAGAGGCCTTCATAACTGAGGCACATTTGCTTAAGTTGGAGAAGAAATTTTGAGTTGAGGAAGAAGATTCCCAGGGAAGAAATTCTCTGCTGGATAGAGTTTGTCATGCCCCATGAACACACCTGGCAGAACTTCTGCCCTTTGCGACCCTGACACATTGTCATCTGTCCTACGATACTGAAAACATTCACAGGAACACCACCTCTCTGAAAGAGGAACAGAAAAGCATCCTGCGGCAGAACCCTGTCAGCTGTGTGCTCAAAGGGCCAGAACTGCCAGTGCAGGACCCTGGAGGAGGGAGAAGTTGGGGAGGGCTTGGGGTGGACAGTCAGGCAAAGCTGACAGTAATCACCAGCCCTAAAGCTAGTCCTAAAGCGTAGGAAGGTCTATCTTTTCTCAAGAAACTCCACAGCGAACATAGTTTAAAAAGTCAATTTTGGGTTATGTTGTGTATACGAACTTTGTTTACTTTCAAATTATTTTATATTGTTTATATGTTGTATTTTCATTGTTCAGTTGATATATATCTCTGTGAAATTAGTTGAGATCTAAGGTTAGGATGAATTGCATCTTAATTTTTCTTATTAAAATACTAAATTCAAAAAATCTATTCTTTTTTTATTTAACAACTGGTTACACGGTTAAAAGGTCAATTTTTATTTTATTCTATTTTGTATTTTCTTTTATTAGTTTCGAGTATACAGTACATTGGTTAGACATTTATATAGTTTATACGATGATCTCCCTAATTACTCTTCCTCTACTCTGGCTCTCCACCTAGCCATTACATTACTGCTAACTGCATTCCCTATGCAGTGCTCGCCATCCCCATGACCACCTATCAACTACTAAATTGTACTTCTTTAAGCCTTCACTCCATTCTTCCAGCCTCCCAAGTCCTCCTCCCCTCTGCCCATCCCCTAAAAGATCAGTTTTTTAAAACTTATTATTATTTATGCCTACAGCACCTGGTCTTCCTAGGTAGTCTACCCATCCAAGTGCTAACCGGCCCAACCCTGCTTAGCTTCTGAGATCAGACATCAGACTTGTTCAGGGTGGCATGGTCATAGACCACAGACTATAGCTCTACTGACAATGTGAATCCAGGACCTTCTGGGTGTAAAGCAGATGTGCTAACCATTACACTATGGAACCACATCCTAAAAGATGGCTTAACTGACCTGTGGTCCCACCGCCACCTGCAGACTTCTAAAATTCCACTTACTGGCCTGTTCCTCCACCATAGAAATGGCAGGCTTTCCACCGCATAATCAAAGACAATTAATTTGCAGCAATTATCTAATCAATATCCATCCAGTGTTCCAAGACAGTGCAAGAAATAAGTCGGAGATAACACCCCAATCTAGGCCTGCTTGTCTGCCCAGCGTCACAGTCCACGAATCCTCTATAATAACTGAACTGTGCGCTTACCCAAGAGCTGTCCCTATGTTATCCCGGAGTGCGGTTCCCCCAGTGTCCACAGCTTTCCTCCTCACCCAACTGTCTCCACTATGCCCTCCGTGTGTTATGCCAGGGCACGGTGGAACTATGAGGCATAAGGGTTAGGGAAGGAGGGGTCAAAGGGACTGCAATTTTAGATAAGGTGGCCATCAGGGGATTCCCCATCCTGTGGGTAACATTTGAACAGATCCCTGCGGAAGAGGGACCGGACCGCAAAAAGAAAGCAGAGTGTAGAAATGGTGCAAGAACAGAGGAAACCGTTAGCAGCGTCGGCTTTACCAGCCAGGACTAGCTCAGGACCCGGGACCTGACCAGGCTGCGGACTGTCCGTCTGAGGGGGCAGATTTTAAGAGGTTTGGAACCGCGCTGGACTACTTTACATTCTCCCCGCGCGGGGTCGCAGCCCCATCAGTTTGGGAAGAAACCGCCCCCTCCTTAGACTTGATCACGCCCCACAGGTACCGCCTCCTCCCGCTCCTAGTGCGTACTCATGACGCCGAACTCCCACCAGGCCCGGCGGTACCCCTGTCACTTCCCAGCTTCCCTGGCCTCCCGCCAGGCCCCGCCTCCCTCCGGGCTCCGCCCCTCGCCTCAGGTTCCCGCGGGGCCAGCGAGGGCAGCCGGAGCCCCGCCTCTTAGTGGAGAGAGTGGTCACGCCCCTGCGGCCGAGACTCCGCCCCCTCAGTTTTGTATTTAAGGAGCTGATCGTTAACAATTGGTCTGAGTTCGAGCTCTCGTTTCCTAATTGGCTGTGGTATTCGGCGGCTTTCCTCCGCGAGGATGACCCGGAAGTGACTCCTGAAGTACGGGCCGCGTGGGTCACCTACTGGGTAATCGTTTCCCGCGGCTGCTGTGATGACCAAAATAAAGGGAGATCCGGAGGGGCAAGAGGCTCAGGCGGAGGCGTGCTCTGGCGAGCGCACTTACCACGAGCTGCTGGTGAATCTGAACCCCATCGCGCAGCCCCTAGCTTCTCGCCGTCTCACGCGGAAGCTATACAAATGCATCAAGAAAGGTGAGGCGCGGTGGCCAGAAGGGGCGCGGGTGGCGGACTGAGGACCCCCAACTGACCCTTCTGTCGTTGCAGCGGTGAAGCAGAAGCAGATTCGGCGCGGGGTAAAGGAGGTTCAGAAGTTTGTCAACAAAGGCGAGAAAGGGTAAGAACTCCCTCCCGCTGGATTTTGCATTTCTAAACGGTAATGAAGGTATCCCTATTTAGTAGGTACTCGGTAAAAATCGGTAAAAGTACTAACTCTATTAGAAGACAATCAAGCAGTCAGTAAATTCCTTTTAATACAGCCAACTGCTACATCATCTCACTTCAGTTCAAAGGGACACCATGGGGAAAGTGAATCCCAGGGGAAGCGAATCGAATAAGCCAACTTGAGTGTCCACTCTTCAGGCACTGTGCTATGGGCAGACAATGACTTTAATCAAATAATGCCACACACAAAGGTTGTGACAGATAACTATGAAGGAAAAGTATAGAGTGCAGTGAGAATGACTTCATTACCATACATCTTTCTTTTCTGGCATTTATCAGAACCTGAAACTCATTTGCATTTTTATTCCCTGTATCTCCTACTCAGGCCAGACAGTAAGCTCTTGGATAATAGGGTAAAGTCTCTCCCTGCTTCATCTCCAGAAGTGTCTGGGACCTTGTAGGTGCTCAAGAGATAAATATTGCTGAGGGGACTTGATGCTCAATGGAGGATCTGACCTAGTTGGGTATAGCTGAGATCTGAAGATACAGGGATTAGTTTGGGGGAAAGCGGTCCTGCCAGAAGGAAGTAGGTCTCAGGGCAGGAAAAGTTAGTGGTGGGCAGAAATGCTACCTTCTCATGGGGTTTTGTAAGCCATAGTAATTTTTTGAACTGAGAGCTTTGGGAGGACATTGAGGGTTAAAGCCAGGGAGTGACGTAATTATGTTTACACCTTAAGATTTTTCTGGCAACTTTGGAAGGGATCAGAGGCACAAGAGTAGTTGGAGAAATTGAGTTAGGAGGCTGCCGTAGTCTAGAAGAGGCAGTGGCGGAAATGGAGAGAATTAAAGTGAATGCGTCTGAGAAGACTTTCAGACATGGTGTAGTAAGTACGGATTCCAGCCAAACGGACAGAGGTGAACAGTGGAGGGGGCTGGATTTCTGTGGGATGATCACGAGTTTGGTTCCAGGCAAGTTTTTGAGGTGCCTTTTAGAATTGTGACCCTTTCTCTCCAGCAGAACTGTCAAATAGGCAGGTGGTTATATGGGCCGCAAGCCTAGAAGAGAGGGGGCCAGGCTGAAGGGAATAGATTGGGAGTAGTGGGAGTTGTCAGCACATAGATGGCACTTGATGCCATGGCCAGAAGGGGTCAGCCAGAAGGTACTGAGAGGGCAGCCAAGGAGCAGGCTGTGAGGAGCACAAGCATTTAAAGGCTACTAAAGAGGCAGAGCCTGCAGAGGAGAGCCCAGCCCTCAAAGCAAAAGGCAAACTGGGAGAGTGTGGACCCAGTGTTTTGAACCAAGAGCTCTCTCCTGGTGTTTGGTGTTTTCATCTTGCCCTTGGAATACAGATTCTTCCTTCTGTGTCTTCAGGGCACCTGAGGCCCTTGCTCCAGAGCCCTGACATGTTGCCAGCTAAGCCCTAGCTGAGGATACTCTGGCAAGCCTTCATTGATTCTCTGTCACTTTTGGGACTGAGCCCATGCTTCTTAGCCTGGCACTAAAGGCCCTTGGGTGTAGCCGCTGCCTATCTCTCTAGGCTTCTTGTCTCCATCCTGGATTCCAAAGCCACCCCAGGCTGCCATCAGCCAGCCTCTGTATCTGGTGCCATTCTGATTCTCCTTAAATGTTTTCCCCACCCCCTGCCCCTCCATGGGCTGCCTGGCAGACATTCATCATTCAGCTTTCTGTTCAAGTATGGCCTCCTGATTCCTTTCTTGACTCATCCATGATTCATCTGTCCCAGTGTGACACCACTCATCACACTTGGTGGCATTTATTTGTTGCCAAGAACTAGAGATCACCTCCCCAGAAGAATGCAGTCACCAAACATAAATTTGCACACACTTTCAGAGAGGGGAAGACCCACATTAATAACTGGGATCCTTGAGGGCAGAGGGCCATCTTATCCATGTCTGTACCCTAAGGCCCAGTCTGGAAATGGTACTTTCGACTGAAAGAAAAAATGAGCAAGTTAGTAATGACAATGTTTCTCTTGGTTCAGGATTATGGTTTTGGCAGGAGACACACTGCCCGTTGAGGTGTACTGCCATCTCCCAGTTATGTGCGAGGACCGGAACTTGCCCTACATCTATATCCCCTCTAAGACGGTAAGGAGCACTTGAGCCCCAATCTGGGTCACCACAGGAGGTGGGGCTGGGATGGGGCTGTGGTGACAGGCCATAGTGGGAAAGAGCACCCGCTTCTGAGTTAAGATGGGCCTGGACGGATTCTTGGCCTTGCTGGTTCCTAGTTGGGGGACTACAGATAAGTTACCTCTCTGTACTTATATTTCCTTCTTGTACAATGGGAATCTCCTCTTCTGTGGCCTGTGGAAATAAAACAGAAAAGTATATGGGGATGTGCTTCATCAACTGAGATGCTCTGCCCAAGTCAGTCCTATTGGGTAGGTGCAGTGCTCAGGGGGTGTTTTAGGGACCTGTATCTGACCTCCTTACATAGCAGGAGCCAGGTCAAGGGCACAGGCAATGGGAGATGGCAGGGACCTGGAGAGCATAGCCCCCACCTCCCTCCAAGGGGACAGCCCCTCTGGACTGGAGCCCTTTCGCAGTTGCCATGTGGGAATGTAGGCCCAGTGTTGCTAGACCACTTGAAAGTTTGCTGCTGAGTTTAAATGATGGCAACCAATTCGAAATGTTTTTAACCCCTTTCCCGTTTGCTCTGAGATAACTCACGGATTACAGTCCTAACCTTACTCCCAAAGTTTGCCATGAAATATCTTGTTTTATTATTATTTTCGCATTGCTGTAGTATATTGATAGTCTCAGGAAACAACTGACATTATTCTGTTTATCATATTCTGTTTTTAGTAGTTCGAGCGCAGAAAATGTCAAATTAGAAAACGAAGCATTCCTACATGAGCTGCACTTTTTTTTTCTAAACAGAAAAATGGTTAAATATAATGATGACTAGAAAAGCACATGTCTGTGAGCCAGATTAGGCCAGTGGGTCATTGGTTTGTGACTCCCTGGCTTACAAGTTGTGTGGCCTTTTTTCCAAACGGCCCTTCTTTCTCCTCTGTAGGACTTGGGTGCAGCCGCTGGTTCCAAGCGCCCTACCTGTGTGATAATGGTCAAGCCCCACGAGGAATACCAGGAGGCCTATGAAGAATGCCTGGAGGAGGTGCGAGCCCTGCCCCTACCCATGTGAAAGGCTTGGGCAACAACCTGGACCTCAGCTCTGGAAGCTGCTGGGTTGGCAGTGGCCCAACCAGCCACACCCCCTGCTGTCTACTCACAGTATCTCCCCAGTCCCTGAGCAGGTATTTTTCCCAAGCAGCTCCAACAGCTATTTCGTGAAGGCAAAGCCAGCATCTTCTCCATCAGTGCTGTTTCCTCTTAAGTTTCCTGGCATTCATTTCCGAGGATGAGTTGTAGGGGAAGTAAATGCTAAGACTAAATGTGATAAGTCTGTGGGTGTTTTTTTTAAGCAGCAGCTGCTGGTGGGGCCAAGGAGCTGGTGGGCAAGAAAGAGCCGAGCAGCCTTTCTCACCGGAGAAGCCAAAAGACTTCAGGGGTGTTCAGTGCTCACGCCTGGCGCCAGGGCTGGTGCTAGACTCTTGCTGAGAACAGACTCTGCTGCCTACTCCCGAGTTCTCACCTCCGACTTCCAGAGTAGGTGGGAGCTGATTCCAGACCCACTGTGTGGAAGCCTACAGCCCCTATGGGGACACCCCATTTCTCGCCTTCCTCCCTGAGCCTTAAGTGCCACTGGGAAGCTTATGGAAGCAATTTGCCCACCCACACAGGACATTTTAAATAGGAATAGGAAGTTAAATACAAAACCCCAGGCTATCTCCTGCTTGGCATGATGGCCCTGGTACCCCAGTTCCTTCAAACATTTCCGACTGAATGTACTTGCCTGCTCTCAAAGGCCCAGCATGGATTCAGCGCACGCAGCAGTCAGGCTTTAGTTGCCTTGGAATAAACTGGAAAGAGCCTGGACTTGAAAGTCAGATCTGGTTTAAGCTCCAAGCACTCTCCTTTCCAAGCTTGGAGCCCTGTCATGCAAGTCATTTCATTTCCCCAAGTTCCCCATTCTGATTTCTAATACGTAGGTAGTGAATTCTTCCTCACTGGGCACTGTGGCTGCCACACTCCCACGAGCAGCTGCAGCCAGACCATGCCCAGTACCTGCGTACAGTGGACATGTAGTAATTCTTTGTCAGTGAAGCTAAAGGCAGGCGAAGGTAGAAGAAAGCCTGTGAATATATTTGCTCAACATTATAAAACGCATTCATTTCTAACCCAGATTATTTACAGTAGACGATAGATACACAGTTGTGTGGCTATACAGAAGGAATGGACACGGTGTTGGCCTGGCAGTCAGACCTGGCTCAGAGATAGAGGACTGCTGCTGCTGCCCAAGTCCCCTGCTCCTCTGTCGGCTGCTACCAAGTCAGTGGCAGATATAAGCAGGAGGACAGAGACCATCGTCTCTCTGCCCTTCCAGCCAAGGAGCTAGCTGCCCGGTCCAGGTTGTTCATCTTCCTCTTTGGCCCCTGCCTGTGGCTGCACTCAGACAATTGCTCAGGAAAGAACCACCATCCACTGAAGACAACCACCCCTGTGAGATAGAGCTAGGCTCACGGGTGAAAACCCTTTTAAATAAAGTTCCTTCCAAGGCAGGAATCAAAATATGATGCATTTCCCATCTGCTAAGTTCTGCTCCATGGGACAAGAACACTTGAGCCTGCAAAGGGATGAGAACCAAGAATATCTCAAGCGCTGGCCAGCAGAAGAGCCAAGCCAAGAAGGAGCAGAGCATGGGGAACTTACTTTCCTCCATTAATGAGCTTGTTGAGTGCATCTCAGGAGATAACATGGCCACAGATGAGCCTGATGGGAGGGTTGAAATCCAAGGTGTGCTGGCAGAGGATGGGGCAAGCGAACACCAAGTGGTACCAGCACTTCATGCCTAGTTCAATATTTGGGGAGGCCAGCTGACAGGTGAGTCTCACTTCTGGCTGTGGCTGTCCTTCCTGGCGCCTTCTGCCCACCTCCCCTTGCCAGGGCTCACCAGTAACTCATCCTGGTGACTCCAAACCCCTGTGTACTGCCTCTGCTCAATCACGTTTTTGACATTCATCAGCACTGGCAGCACCACACAGCCAGAGGTGAAGCTGCGGGACAAAGAGCAGGGGCTGGGGTGGCCAGACCAGGACCCCAGCGGACAGACCAAAGGACCAGCACACTGTCATCGGCACGGGACGCAGGACAGGGTTCTAAAGTGGCACACTGCCAAATCGGTCCTAGAAAATCAGGACACATAGTTATATGTGTCCAATTGTAGAGAATCATTCTAATGCACCCTAAAACAACATATGAGAAAGACAAAGATCAAGGAGGCATGTAACTGCTCATCCAAACCATTGAGAAGTCCTTGGTGTGATAGAGACAGTGATCAGTTTGATCAGCCTGTCTACTAATGGTGTCATAATGCACCTCTATAAATGGTTATCAACTAGGGCATATCAACTTAGAAATGGGGGCCATATACCAAAGGACCAGCACACTGTCATCGGCACGGGACGCAGGACAGGGTTCTAAAGTGGCACACTGCCAAATCGGTCCTAGAAAATCAGGACACATAGTTATATGTGTCCAATTGTAGAGAATCATTCTAATGCACCCTAAAACAACATATGAGAAAGACAAAGATCAAGGAGGCATGTAACTGCTCATCCAAACCATTGAGAAGTCCTTGGTGTGATAGAGACAGTGATCAGTTTGATCAGCCTGTCTACTAATGGTCAGATCTCACGATGGTTTGTGACTGGTTGGAGCCTCGGGTGTTAAATACAGTAAATAACTGCACAGGGCAGTCCTGTCTGAGGTGCAGGTGGTGTCTTGCTGGGAAACAGTGTCCCATAACAAGTCCACCACACTGGGTAGAGCATGAGACTCCACAATCGGTCTGAGTAAAATGCACTGTGACATGATCCACGGTGGTGCAGTGTGCGGCTCTGGGGGCAGGTCCACATGCCCTTTATCCCCTAGGCAAGTTCACTCACGCCTCGAACTTCTTGTTTCTTCGTCTATGAGGAGAGGATAATAGTCCCACTAGCTCCTAGGTCACTGTGAAGTCATGAGAAGGGTGTTACTGTAGGGACTTTCCGAGTGAAAGCTCATGATAGTGTAACTCAGCCACGCAGGTCTCCCCGAGTCTCAGAGGGTCTAGTACTAGTCCAGCCATGATGAAGTGCAGGCAAGATGGGGAACTCATTCAAGAGACCTTACAAAATAGGAACCTTGACGCTGCCACTAACCTCATGGTGACCCTGGGCCACAGCTCTTCCTAAACTGTTTATCTGCCTGTGAAAACAGGTAATGCCTACCTAAAAGAATGACTGAGAGAGCCAGTTTAGGCTGTGAAGGCACTGAGCACCGTCCCTGGCACATAGCAGGGCCTCAACAAATTGTTTCCCTCGAAAGCCTCCCCTTCATGCTGCCCCACACGCTGGCTGTACCTGACGCTGAGGGGCGACTCCATGGAAAACCCCAGCAGGGAAAAAGCATCAAAGGTAAAGGTCTCACAGATCTTGGCCCAGTGGCTGTTGTCCAGGAGGTGGCAGTAGGGCGACTTCTTCAGGCCCAGCCACAAGTACACCAGAACTGCCCATCATCACCTGGATCTCTACAAGGCAACCAGATGCAGCTCCGGATGCACAGGAGCCCAGGAGGCAGCCTCTCCCTGGGGTTCAGGGTCCAGCCCCGGGGGTGGCAGGGCTGTGGAAGCAGGATGGGGAACAGGCTGAGCCCCGAGGTTCCCCGGTGCCTGCCTGGCCAAGCAGGGCCTGAAATACCCTCGGGTAAAACTGATTTCCCCTAAACTCCAGTGGAGTTGCGTATGTGAGACAAGGACAGGCACCACCATGTGCGTCCGGGAGGCAGGGTCCCAGTTCTCTTCCCATCCCTCCGACTGCATCGGGTTGGCGCTCACGTCTATTCTCCAACACTAGCTAATCTCCCTTTTTAAAAAACTTCCAGGAGATATCTAGCTAAAATTTAATTAAAATTCGATGTATATTTCTCAATAAAACGTGAAGTAATAAATATGAGGGAAGCTAAAGGAAAACATCACTGGCAGTAGAGTCGTTATTAATGGTGAGACGAAGGCTAAAGTTTGCAGATCCGAGTGTTAAGGAAGAGGGTTCAGGAAGGACGCCACAGAGGGTGCTGAGTGAGTCTGAAAGGGACGAGCGGGGTTCTAGGCAAGAGAGTCAATGCCGAGGCAGAGCAGCATGCAGGCGCGTGTGTCGTAGGCACACACAAGCAGTGCGCTCTGCACGTGGGTGTGCCACGCAGCTGGTGTCGGAGACAAGGGGTGGTCTGAGATAAAATTAGAAGAGTGTGGCAGAGGAGGAAGAGCCTTGAGTTTGGGGTTCACCTAGAGACAGGAAGGAGGGGACAGAGGTCTCAGGCCCAGGAGCACCACCCCAGAAACATGCCGATGTCTGCCAGGGCCCAGCAGCGTCCAACCAGGAGCCCTGGCCACTTACCATGCTGGTGCAGCCAAGCAAAGGGCTGGAAGTGCTGAGTGCTTGGCAGCTGGAACTCCAGGGGGCTGTTGAGCTTGAGCAGGCACTGCCTATGGGAGACAGCCCACTTGGGAAGAAAGGGGCCAGCTGAGTGTGGAGCAGGTGGGGTGACAAGAGGGGCCCTGGGGCAGCTGGGACTGAGTAGTGGGCTCCAGAAACCTGTGTGAGGCTGGGACACAGGGCTGGAGGCACATCAGGTACAATGGATGAGAAAAGACTTGTCCCCTGCTGGCCCACCCCAGGGCCAACTTACTTCAATGCCAGCCCTAGGTCTTGTTCATGCAGAGCTTCCAGGATTCGATTCAACTCCAAGAAAAGCTGCTTGAAATCCAGGCCCTCATTCAGTGTTGATTCCTGTGGAGAGAGCGTGATCCCACCACTGGAGGACTGTATTTCCAGAATCCTCTGCTCCAGCGTAACAAATCCTCATCGACCAGACAGGCTTGAGAGAGCCAGGGTCTGCATGAAAAGCCATGGTCCCTGCCAGCCACCTGGCCCCTCTTATTCCCATCTCCATTCCAGGAGGCTGAGTGCCACATGCTGGCCTCCCACAAGACAGACCCCAACTCTCTCGGGGTACTGGAGACAGTCTCAGGGCCCGCGTTGAGAAGCATAGTGAGAAATTATTCCTTTTCAATCCTCTCAGTTACTTTAAGAGAAAGAATCTTTACTTTCACTGCCAGTGTGTCTTTAACACCTAACCATGCTACTCTGTCATTTTACAAATCTCCCTTTTAAAAAAAGAAGTATCAGGCCCTCGACTCGGAACCTTGGCTGGCAATCAATTCTAGCTAGAAATGAGTGACTTCACTTTTAACCATGTATATTTGTAGAGCTACCTTCTACTTTTGGTGGGGGTTACTGTTCCTTTCTAAAATAAATTTATGTCAAGAATAACAGGCATCTACCATAAAGAAAACTACCAAGTAGAAAGCAGAACCGGCAGGTCCCAGCATCTCCCCCACCGGGCCGTTACTTGGCACAGCTCGTCGGCCACACCGAGCACGCCCTGCTGGTATGAGTGCTCCACAATGGCCACCTGCAGAATCTGCTGCTGCTTCGCTCGCGAGTCCCACACTGCGTCAGAGATGACACGGCAAATCTCACAAAGTTCTGCTGAGGATGAGGGCCCGGTGACTCACATTCGCCACACTTGCTCTCCTGATGAACCTCATGAATGCCAGCTCCAGGCATCACCACCCCTGCCCGGGGCACCCACACGCCCACCCTGTCAATGGCTTTGCCCACTTGGGAGACACTGCTGTGAATGTCCCTGTGGTCTGAAGCCAGTTTCTGTACCATGTCTTTGATCTTCTGGCAGCACTGGGACATCACCAGGGAGAGGGTGGCTGAGAGAGGGGTCCTCTGGAGGGCTGCAGAGAAACACTAGCAGTGAGTCAGAACCCGGGAGCAGACATTTTCCTGCTTCCTCTATCCTGAATGCCGCCTGGGGAACGGGAAGCAGCCCTGGACTCGGGAGTGAAAGACCCAGCTTCTGTTCTAGGTCCTGTCAATTTTTAACTGTGACTTTGAACTGATCAAGAGGACAGCAGTTCATCTCTTGAAGTCTTCATTTCCTCATCTATAAAAGGGGGGGTGATAGCACAGGCCTTGTAGGCTGCTGTAAAATGAAGGTGACCAGGCACTTGCTGTGGGTAAGTGCTTTATTTCAGCCCACTTAATCCTCACCACTGTTAGAATCATATCCTGCACCTGAGGAAGGTGAGGGAGTAACTTGCCAGGTGACACATCTGGCAGTGACAGATCTCAAGTCTGTGCTCCTCATCACCACATTGGATGGCTCCTTGTTGCCTTGAGTGAGATGCCGTGTGTAAGGTTTTGAACCACAAAGCATTGTCCCCATGTGAATGACTCTCATCAGCCCAGAGGACACCAGGAGGGCTGGGGTAGCCAGGGAAGCTCAGGGACTTCAGGCTCCGGACCCCAGGCTCGTAGTGGTTTTCACCCCCGTGGCTGGGCTGGAGCCAGACTAACCACCAAGAGCACGTGGGGCTTGGAGGAGAGGAAGACACATAGGGCATCGAACCCTTCTTCAGGCCCAGCGTCTCCATCCCTTTTCTAGGTGGCATCACCTCAGCTCAAGGAACAGAATGTGACTCAAGAGGGCCAGGGAACGTCTCAGCTCCACAAAGCCCTGGAAGACAGCCTCATTCTGCCACATTGTTAAACGAAGTATGGACTGGAGCTGCTGTGGCCATCTGAGGGGAGCAGCACCCAGAGAATGAAGCCACAGTAGATTGAGGGGTCACACGGGCACCTGGATCCAGCTGGCCCGGACATTTCCGTTACCTGAGTCCAGAAACCCAGGCAGCTCCACCCCCCTACTTTGTTCGTGTGTTTGTTTAAGCTAGTCTGAGCTGGGTTTCTGCCACTTGTAAGTGAATAAGTCCTGACAAATACAAACAGGAGTTGGTGGCTGGGCCACCCACCTATTCTAGGGCAATGGGGCAAAACCTCACTCCACTCTAAGCACTGGCATGCCCCCCCCCAAATCCCAGCCTGCCACTCATTTTTCATTCTCTTCTCCTCTCACCCCCACCCTCCCCGCCCCCATCACAGAGGGCCACACTGCACATTCCGTGGCCACATCTCCTTTTAGGACAGAGCAACATTCTCAGTAAATGAAAGTCTTTTAACTTAGAATCCCCCGATCTCCACCAACAAAGAACCCTACTAACAACCATCAGCCCCAACAAATCTCCGTCTAAACACACTGCAGCCATAACTACTTGTTTACCAAGAGCATAGACAGTGGAGATGTTTCCGACCAGCAAGAGAAAGCCATTTTTTCCACACAATTAACAGATGTCGCCAAAGCAAGGAACACTGGGCATTTTATTACAGCATTGCATAACTATAAAATGGTACAAGAATGAGGTAGAATTCTATGTAGTGATAAAGAACACTCCAAGACA